GATTTATGTAGCTTCTGTATTTTTAAAGACCTCATTCAATGACATCCCAATTTGCGGTGGCACAGACTAGAAATCATTATCCTCTAGTGGTGTATCTGAAGTCATAAATGATGTCTAGCAGGATATTTGACAATGAACTTGAGCATATGAACATTATCAAATATCAAAAATTAAGTTTCTGTTCATTTCTGTACTTCCATTCTTGCCAAGAGACAAAAATAACAGTATGACAGGAGGAATATAAAGCATACAACATCTCACAGATATATATATGTGTGTGCGCGCGCGCGCGATCAGCTCATCGCAAGGCCTGCAGAGATATATTATATATTATGACCCACAATTTCATCTGTCAACAAGCAACTGCTGTCAGAACAACTCAATGGGGTGATATGACTACAATGAACACCCCTAAACCAAAGGATATAATGATAGTCGTTATGTTGTTATGCTATTTCAAGTGCAGCTGTTATAAAGATCATTAATGCTAAGCAGTGACTTGGAAGAAGGTAGTCATGATCTATTCTAAATACTAGTGTAGTTTGTTGAGGCACTATGCTACAAGCTGGAAGGTCACAGGTTCAATTCCCAATGAAGTAATTGCATTTTCAACTGGCCTCATCCTTCCAGCTGCATTATGACCCTGTGGATTAACTCAGCCTCTAACATATATGAATACCAGGAATCTTCCTGGGGGTAAAGTGCAGCTGGTGCATAAGACTGACAACCTTACCGCCATCTGTGAGCAGACTGTAGAAAATGTGGGAGCTTCAACGTCTCACAACCCTATGGGCCTCCACGGCTTGTTACAAGGATAACTTTCTTCCTGGCACTTGCTTGGAGAGACTGAAGACACACAAAAGCCCTTGGACAGAATGACTTATAACCTGGCAAAGACACTGAATCTTTGGCTTTGTATTCAAAATGACCCAGGCTCCAACCTTGGTCAGGAGACCAGTTATCATAACTAAGGATTTCTGTGGTTTTCATCAACCCCTCCAAGCAAATACCAGGACTGTATCTCACATGAGACCATGACTTCTTCTATCCACATCTTTTCCAATTAATTAACTAATCATCCTATTATTTGAAAGGATACAGTGTGAGCTCTGATAGCACTGTTAACTAAACCACAAATAAATAACTAACCAAGATTTGACTCAGTTACACCCTGAATAAATGTCCAGAACATTAGTGATACATAAACCTGCTCAATCACAAAAAAATAATGACGTACACACACTTCTGCCACCATGCATACCAAAATAAAAATGTGAGGGGAAAAAGGGAAGTAAAAGAAAAATATGGGCAACAATACATATAAGGTGATCCGTACAAGGAAGCATTCCAACTAAAGCAGTGCAATACACATTGCGACAGAGCATGCTGTGTTCCTATACAAGACAGCGCACTACCAACCCTGCTCACTGGTAGCAGAGCTTTAAGGTACAATACCAGATCACACTGCTGGACACGAACAAAAGCCAGTAACATTCATCTCCCATCTCCTTCTTGGTCTTCCTATTGGCCACTTACTAAGAGTTTTCTCTGCAAACTTCTATATGCATTTCTTGTCTCCCACTCCAAGTTTTTTTTTTTATTATTACTTGGGGTTAGGTGAGACTGAGTCCACCTGGCATGTCAGCCACTACTTAGACTATTGTACCATCCCCAGATTATAGATGGTGATGAGTGTGGAGCAGTCAATAGAATAAGAACTTGCAGGCAAAACCAAAGCAATGGAAGAAAACCTGCCCCAGTGACACTTTGTAGACCACAAATCCCACACCACCCGCTCTGGGATTGAACAAGGACTGCCACAAACACACAACTTTTAATTACAAGTAATTATAACACCATTGCTGATTTCAACACCACAAATCACTATGATAAGCTAAATCTTCTGAATCTTCACTAGTCGTTTCCTGTAACTACAGCACACACAGTCTTGCCATCTCTTCTCAATTATCTTAGACTGCTGACTTAAGACTCCCTCATTTATCATCTCAGCTGGCCTCAGATCCTTGTTATGTTGTGTTGGGGCAGACCCACATAAAACACCGTTTCCATCTTTATAGCACAACAATACTTCACTGTTGCTTACACATTCGTTGCAGCAGGGACCCGTTTACCCAGTCTTTGCCTAGCAATGACGTCCACTCTGGATCTGCTTTTCCGGCTTTCAGGCATCATGTTACATGACAATGTGGAGTGTATTAGAATATCTTAAGATATTGGAAATGGCTTGTTATCAAAACTGAATACTGTGTATAGTGTGTGTGATGCAGAACAATGTGTTTGCACTTCAGGGCTAACAACAGGACGTACAACATGAATGTATGATTGGAGTACATCACATACTGGTAAAGGGTAAACATTCACAAACACTGTGCGTAGTAATGAACTTCCAAAGGTTTGAATGTTACAGCAAGGTGCTGCTGGAAAGTCTTGTTCATGGGAACAATTTGTCCAAGAGAAATACTGATCAAAGGGCAGTGGAAATGAATGAAGACAATTACAGATATTGATGTTGTTGTTAATAGGACTTGGTAGAAAACTGGGTTGTTGTTGCTAGAACCACTGGAACTGGAAAGGTAATGTACAGTCATGGAAAAATACTACCATGGCTATCACACTCTTTACAGACAAGCACCAGAGCGTTTTATATTTCAAAGGGTTCACTGAAGGGATTAAACCAGCTGGAGTGTGGAAATTATTCCAGAGGTCAGGACAGAATTGTGGTATATGGTACAGAAGCTATCTTGATGATTAAGGGTTCCCTCATGACTATACAAGCCAAACCAGTGGAACCATTGAGAAACTTCAATATGTAAGTCACCTTCATGAAAGACTGGGCACACCTATGGGGAAATTATGAATAAACATGGAGAGGAAAAAAAAATTTTCATGATAAACTGGACAGAATGCCAAACAGGCATACATGAAAAAAATACTACGCGTTAGTTATGAGGAGCAATAAGAAACACTTGAGATAAGAAAAGCTGCACGGGCTATGGTTTTCCACAAAGCACCCATATTATGAACTCTGCCAGAATGGTGACAATTAAGTGTGCGTGCTTGACTGCCAGTCACCACAGTGCATGAAATCAAAGAATATGAGAAGAAGGTAACAGAAGAACACACAACACATCAGTTTAACATTTTTAAAGTACTTAAAATTATCTGAACAAGATTCCAACTTGACAAAACAGGTAAAACTATCCCTGTAATAGAGGGTTGTGAGACGTCGAGGTTCCCACATTTTCCAGATAACTGGCTCACAGATGGCGGTGAGATTGTCAGTCTTATGAGCCTGACGCCCTTTGCCCCACTCATTTCTGTTACTGGCTGAGTCGGCCTCAGGGCCATAGTGCGGCTGGAAGCATTAGGTCAATTGAAAAATCCAAAGTAAAGGTATCCCTGCAACAGGCCGTGGAAGCCCATAGATGATGAGGTTCCCACATTTTTCTAGACAAGTGGCTCATAGATGGTGGCAAGGTTGTCAGCTCTACACGCTGGCTGCCCTTTCCCCAAGAATATTCTAGGTACTCATTTCTGTTAGAGGCTGAGTCGACCCCTGGGCCATAGTGCTGCTGGAAAGATTAGGTCAATTGAAAAAAATCCAAAGACCTCATCAGGACTTGAACCTGCGACTTTCCAGCTTGTAGCATAATGCCCCAACCAACTATGCTACCGCATAGTGCCTCAACCAACTACAACACCACACAGAACATACTTTTAGACCTTACAAGTCTGGCGAGGCAGAAGATACTGAGAACAGTGGAGCAATTTCTATGAATCGCCATATATACCTAATGATGTGGGCCCCAAGTGAATATATAGAAACATGGAATAAGTGGTGTTCTAATCAACAAGCTATCAAGATGTTGCACACACAAGACCGTTATGCATATACATTGAGTGTATTAAATTAAATCTGGAGTGGGCCCAAATCAATTACAATAAACAAAACTAATTACAACCATGTCAACATCTCAATTTCTGGTTATATGAATATTTACTTACTGTGATTACAATATGTTCCTTGCCCCATCTACAAGAAAGTAAACAATTACAAAAAAAAACGGTATTTTATTAACACTATCACATCACCTTGGGCAGGACTGACTTTTTGTAGATTGCATCCAGCCTGCAGGTCACACTTTCCCCACCCCTGTTTATGATGCGCTGTGGCACTCTGTGTAATTTGCACCAACTGGAACTAACTGATCATACACTAACATTTTTGCCTATTTTACTATGTGGCAGACTCTCTTAAGTGGGATACAGTGGAATTTGGTGAATGCGTTCAAGTCCTAACTTAAAAAAGCTAAACACTAAGCTTGCCACTGATCCTCATGTGCTTACTGCAATGTCCCTACATCAGCGTTCTTGGTATGGCATACATCTCCGGATCCCTATTAGGGATGGTGTGGCAACTACTGCCCAAAATTGACTTTCACTGCAATTTCATGTCCAATGTCCTGCTGCATCTATCTCTTACTCAATGTAATCTTCCTACAATTCACCATCGTCCTTGAACCTGTGACATTACTTTTGAGTGTCAGCAACCTTGGATCAAACATCATTTGCTCACCACGTACTACAAAAATATCTTCAGAAGTTCCATTGGCAATTTTTGCAATCAATTATAAACTTTGAAATTATTCACTGGAATTTCTTCACTCTGAAATCTTCCACACTCTGTGCTGTCCTCATAGATGCTAATCTAACACTTACTGTTGACATGCACGAACAGTCTCTTTACCTGCCACGGTATCACGCATTCACTTCTGTCCTAGAACTGCCTGACGTGACTAATGTTCATATTTGGACACTGATGAACTATATCACCTACCCAAACATCAAATTACGTTGAAATTATAAAGAACTCTGTTCTGCTCCCCAACACTTGAGATATAGGCTAGGAACACATAACATGCATGTGGGCTACTGTGCAGGCAAGACAACAGTCCATGCCTAGAATGTAGACTCACCACCTGAACCAGATTCTGCATCTTCATCGTCAGGACCAAACCCTGACCCACTGGACTCCAGGTCATCCTTCACCTCCCGCTGACCTCCACCTGAACCCTCCAGGTTCCCGTCATCATCAATATAGATGTCATCCCGTGACCAGTATGGACTGCTTGTCTGCAACAAGTACCACATACATGAAGAGTTTCCCAACAGTTTTAACTTTTCTTAGGAATAACAGGCTTATCTAATTTAACCCTGTTGATGTCAGTCTGGGTAATTACATTTCAGCCTAATGTTATATTGAATCTAACAGCCTAAAGTGAAACTGACAAAACTGGGGCATCTAGAGGATATGTGTTAAAATGAACAGAATTGATTACAATTGCTTTTCCATTTTAATAAAGCAAATAAATTAAAGTCAAAGTCTTCTATAATAAACTTTCACATGCTGAAATAATAACTCAAGAATTCATGCAGTCAGTGGTAGCTGTTAATATAAAAAAGAAGGAAACACATCAACTACATCATTTCAGTCATACTGCAACTCTCAATCTATGCCTTCATATTCCTTCCCTCTCAACCGCTTCCAGTGTTCAGTAAGTTGCAAATAAAACATCACCAGAAGAAAATGTGGTGCTTTTTATTATTTTACAACTGGATATATGATCAAAAGTAATATGAACCATCTGAAGGCCAATAACTAAAATGAAGTGTACTATTCCATAATAAGAAATGTAAGTGAAGATTAATTATATTTTTACCATAATTTTGCATGTGAACATAACACTGTAACTAAAGACGACATCCCTATAATAAGCTAATCACTGCAATTGAAATATGAAATAATCACGTCACATTACCTAATTCTAACCCAAATGACGATATGCCTCTTTGAATATGTCCATGTTCCTTGATGGATTTGAAACTTCAGAGAACCACAAAATATTCTAAGAACAGAATTTTCCTCTCAAACCTGATAAAATTTTAAAACACCTGAGGTGTGATGGTGGTGATGACCTGCTGCTGTGTAAATCGTTCGTTTTATGACCTACTTGGGGAGGAAGCAGACTGCAAGGCAGACTGTACAGGGGGAAGTGTGAATGGGGAGGAGCAACAGAGACTGCTGGAAGGGAGTACCTGAATCAATCAATAATGCTGACTAGTGCTGCAGCCTAGCTACAGGGATACCAAACTTACTGCATACCACCAACATTCACCACTGCACACCTCACTCAACAGGGGTTACCAACTCTGTGGGTTATTTTCAGCAAGGAGCAGACAATATGGCAGAGGATTTTCTTTGAAAGAAATTTAAAATCCCCTGCTTTATTTAGTAAGTTGCCGAATGTCTCAAATACAATTCACAATTCTCTCACTTTGGAGCCTGAGTTCATTTCTAATGGGGATTAGGGGAAAGAACATTTATTAAATGCCTGCAACTCTGTGTACCAATAATAAAACATCAACCAATGAGGAAATCATTATTAAATTTGGCCTGATGATTATGTTACTGGAGGGTGAACAAATTGGTAGTTTTATCAACCACAGTAGAAATATGGCTGCAGCATTAACTTTCAAAATATAAAATGGGCATCAATGTTAAAGTTACAGTAGATATATCCCTCTTTTGGGAAAAATCCACAAAAAAAAAAAAAGCTCCAAATTTCAGTGAGAGATATGCAACAAACAGCCCTTTTTGGGAGCATCTGGAACCACGCAGACCGTCTATTAAAATCACTTCGTCCGTCAGTCTGTACACATGAAACCCAAGAATCACTAAATGGACTTTCATGAAATTTTACATTGGGAAGTTTTACTCAAATCTGTCACTACATTAAAAGTTTAATTAATATTTAAACAAAAATGATGGATACTTTTTATATCACGACATAAGTGCCTCATACCAGGCAATAATTATACAAAACTTCCCAAAACCTGAACTTATTGTTTTCCATTCTTCTGGTATTTGTGATGAAAGAAAAATCTGTTTTATCAACTTTTTAACCTCACAATCAACACATTTCCTTCTTCCTCTAACATTGCGTTGGTAATGGATCTGCCTCCAGAGATTTCCAATTTCTTCACCTCATAACCTATCCCATCACCTCTTCACAACCAACCTCAAATACTATCTAGCACCTTCAAGTTTTCCTCTTTCCTCCTCCGTTTCCGCTGAATATGGATGGGCAAAATATTCCATCTGTCTGCTCATCAGTTTCTGGAGCAGTAATGAACACTTTTATTTTCTTTAACTGCATGCCATTCGGCATACTTGTTTCTGTGTCCCATAAAAGTCTCTCTCTGTAGATTACTCGATATGCTTCCCAGCAATTTCAGTTAATTTGCCTTATGCTAAAGTTAACTGCTTTTCTAATGAATTTACACCGTCTACATTTTCCATCTGTTTTATCCGCCTGCTTTCCTAAAGTAAGCTTACGCGATTTGCGTATTTGTGCATCCCCCCTACCAACTTTTGAATGCCCGGACCAATGTTATATTTTAGCGTCCTGTTGCACTGATTTAAGTCCATGATTTATTTAAACCGTCTTGCAGTGCATACACTCATTTATCTCCTTATCTCCCTCGCACTACATGTTTCGGCATAACAATGCCATCTTCAGGTGCTTACTTATCCACGCCAAACCAGTTCATTGCATGCCTTGTTCTCATATTAAAATAATAAAAATATGTATCTATCATATACATTGTCAAACGTTAAAAATATTAAAATTGTTCAGGATACCACATCGCTACGTCGCCCCTCACTACGCCAGTCACGCTCATTCTCCTCTGTTGGAGCACTCCTTCACTGTCTTGTGTGTGTTGTGCTTTTGTTATGTCTTGCTCCTGTGACTGCGTGTGAAGGAGTGCTCCAACAGAGGAGAATGAGCGTGACTGGCGTAGTGAGGGGCGACGTAGCGATGTGGTATCCTGAACAATTTTAATATTTTTAACGTTTGACAATGTACGAGTATATGTATATGTATATGATAGATACATATTTTTATTATTTTAATATGAGAACAAGGCATGCAATGAACTGGTTTGGCGTGGATAAGTAAGCACCTGAAGATGGCATTGTTATGCCGAAACATGTAGTGCGAGGGAGATAAGGAGATAAATGAGTGTATGCACTGCAAGACGGTTTAAATAAATCATGGGCCTGGACCAATATTTATGAAACTTAGTAGGTGTAACATGGAAACTTCGCTCATCTCAGCGGCGTACTTAATTAATTACTCCCACCAGTATTTTTTTTCCCCCTTGGCACTACAGCCCCCAGTGGGCCTAGGCCTACCTCCATGAAACTCTCCGTTTCAGTTCGGTTTACTAGATCTTACACGTGCGGTAGGACTCCTTGGGCGAGTGATCAGCTCGTCGCAAGGCCTCTACCTGTAGACAAACACAGAAAAACGCACACAAACATCCATGCCCTGAGTGGAATTCGAACCCACGATCCCGGCTTCCGAGCGAGCGAAGACTGTGCATGCCTTAGACCGCTCGGCTACCGTGACCGGCTCCCACCAGCACGTCTGTATGTATACTCTCCCACGTATCGTTCCAAGGCTCGCGTCCCGCGGCAACGAATACACCCAGCAATTAAATAACTATTGGACACGTCGTCTTCTATGAGGTCGGTGTCTTATCAAAGGAGAGTCTGTGGGTCTGACCGTCTCTCCCCCCATAGTTGCTAGGTAACAAATAATTAAAGACGTTCCTGCGGCAACGAAGAATTGCTGGAGGTGTCCTTTTCTGTATGGTCCGAGTAGTATCAAAGGAAAGCAGGTGATTGGTTCTTCCCAGACATTCTTGTTTTCTTCACATTTGAAATATACATTCCATTCCCCTCTGATAATTGTTTAATGCAAAACCATCGGGATCGGTTTATAGGGGATCTTATTGCATTTACGTACTTTCCTTGTTCCTAGTGCTCCAGTCACTGCTAGAAACAACAGTCATGTAGTTCCTCGGTATCTCACATCTCTTAGTGACATCGTTTCATTCGCCTACTTCATTTATTTCTTTTTCGGCATCTGTAATATAGTTTCTTTCTCCAGTAATAGGCTATAGTCATTCTGCACGCCTCCTGGATGAAGTGTCCTTACATCTGAAATTTGTTGACAAAGAAATGTGCCTGTTTCTTAGAGTAATCCAAATGTATACTCGTATTGTGATTTACGGTCAAAGATGTAGTGCGAAAAGAGGAGAAGAAACCGACATAGTTTCTTTCTTATGGATAATGTGAAGAGCACTGACAATGGCATGTCATTTATATACTCTCTTCGGAAAGCGACCGTTAAGTGTTAAGTGTACACCATATACATATGCAATCTTGTTATTTTCAGAGTGATCACTTGTGAACCGCTGCGAATTTCGAGCAGCGAGAAATATACAGATCTTTGCACGACACACTTGTACACGTAGTTACTATAGAATTCTGACGATGGTGTATAACACACAGAGATATTGGGTTTTCGGACTTTATCCATCGTCCTGGTTTTTAAGATAACTAAGAAAAACACGACGTTTCGGAAACTGGATCTGTTTCCGTCCTCGGGTGAAGGAAAAAACCTATTCTGTTGCGTCCCTTAGAAAGAGCTAGCCTCAATCACTGGACCAGTCCGAAAACCCAATAACACTTCTACACGTTCTGATTTTCGAACATACGCTGGTAAGACAAGAAAGTTGTGGATTACGATAAGAGAGTTGGTACAATTATATGCATACTACGTGTCTATTCATAAATTCTTACTAAGCGTTTTTCTGAACGTTCAAAAATACCAGCTGAAGCTAGAGTAACAGCATCTTCATCGATTCCAGGTAGATATCAGGACTGTGCATTCTGAATGTACTTTACGGAATCATTATACTCGTAATTCAACACACAATTCGAAAGAAGCATAGAAATCTTAAAAGACAAAATGAAAGATCACACGTTATGATCTACAGATGAAGAGGAATTAACTGCCACTGTAGTAAAAACTAGTTCCAATTTTAAAAATATCCTAATTATGTTACGCAACTAACAAGGGATTCCTAGGAGAACTCACAAAAGCCTACATCTTACTGTACGAATCTCTAATTATTACTGCACATCATGACAGGACCCTGAATAACTGGCACGAGTGTTACTCCCACCTCGCGATTTCGCGCATCCTCCATGCCGTTATTGC